CCCCCCCCCAATCCGCTTCCACTGGGAAAGAGGTGTGGTTTAAGCACCCCGGTCACCCACCCCTTCCCATTGTGCCCTGCCCCTCTCCATGCAAGGATTCAGGTGAGTGCAAAACGCCTTGGGGCACAGCAAGCTTTGGGGGGCCGGGGGGAGAATGCAATGCCAGTGGGATGATGGAGGGGGAGACAGCAGGCAGGGAAGCTGCTGGGCAGGTGGGGGAGGGGAGAGACCCCCCCAAAAAATGAAAGGAGGTGGGTGTGCAGCTGAGCTCCCCCCCCCCCATTTCGAGTATTCCGAATAGCAATAGGGATACTATAAACACATGCAGAAATACAAACGTTTCCTAACTTTCAGCTGAGTTTCCTGCATTCCAGGGGTCGGAGAACCTATTGCTTAATAGGTTTAGTTCCACTTCCCATATTCATCATAATACAATACAAAACGATACAATATAATACAATCCAAATACCTTTATTGGCATTTCAAGTTAAGACATTTCAAAATGGCATCAGATGCAAAGTCTTTCTTCTTCCTGTTTCCAAGAGATTTGAGTGGGGAAATCCTTTCGATTCCTCAATAATAAGAGGCAGTGGGGTGAGGGAGGCCAGGGCCACATCCACACCATTTAAAGCGCTATGAAGCCGCTTTAAACACTCATGGCTTCTTCCCCAAAGAATCTGGGAGCTATAGTTTGAAAAGGGTGCAGGGAGCTGTTAGGAGGCAGCCCTGCTCCCCTCCCAGAGTTCCCTGCCAAGAAGGGAACCCTACTCCTAACCCTAACCCTGCTCCTGACGCTAACGCTAACCCTAACTCTAATGCTAACCCTTAACGCTTAACTAGAACTACAATTCCCAGAGCTCCCTGGCAAGAAGGGAAGCCTAACCCTACCCCTGACGCTAACCCTAACCCTAACCCTTAACTAGAGCTACAATTCCCAGAGTTCCCTCACAAGGAGGGAACCCTTCCCCTACTCCTACCCCCTAACCCTAAACCTAGCCTAGCAACTCTTCATCCCCTTAACCACCTACATTTCCCAGAATCCCTGAGGGGAAGCCATTCCTGTTCAAAGCGTCTTCATAGCACTTCCAATGGTGCGCCTAATGTGTCCCAATGTTTCCTCCCTCATTTTCTTCTCTCTCCCCACTGCCCCATCACTTGCAATGCAGCAGATGTCCGCCTGCAGTCTCCCTTCAAAGCTCTCCTTCTCTCAGGTCTGGCCATGGCCTTGTCCATTGTTCACTGCCAGGATTTCACGTTCATTTCTCCGATGTAAATAGGGACGTCCTGCGGTCCTCTTCATGACTTTGAAGGCTGAACTTGGGGAATGCCTCAGCGGCTCCAGACATCCCTGTAAGGCAAAGGCAAACAGGTGAGTAGGATGGCCCCCATCCACAGTATCCACACACACACCGCCAACTCCTCCTCTGTTTGGCTGCCTGTTCACAAACAAGGCTTCCAAACCAGTTTGCATCCATCTCAGCCAGCGTAGCCTCGTGGCATCCACTAGCCTGAATGTAAACTCTTCTGACAACCATCCACCAGCTGCAGCCTCACCAGGTCCATTGCCAGACATCAACTAGCTTCAGAGCTGAATATCAGTCGCCTTCAAGTAGTGATCCCACCAGCAAGTAAACTTTGTGCTAGCCTTTTCCTTGCTCCACAGCATCCCAGCACTTTTACATCAATCAATCAATCAATCAATCAATCAATCAATCAATCATTTATCGCATTTGACTAAAAGCCATTACAAATTCAGTTACAAAAGCACCAAACCCAATGACCCAAACTATAGCTCCCAGATTCTTTGGGGGAAGAAACCAGGTGGATGCCATGTGAACTCAGCGATGTGTCAAGTGATGGCTACATACTACCTCCAGGTTCAAAGGTGGCATATTTCTCACCTGTGACAGAGAAGCATCATGTTTGGAGGTGGCCTAATTCTGAATACCAGCAGCTGGGGACAAACAATCAGAGAAGCTGTTGCTTTTGTATTCTGCTTCCAAGCATCCTGCAGGCACATAGCTGGCCACTGTCAGAAACAGAGATGATGAGCTAGATGGCTATTTGCTCTAATTCAGCCGAGCTCTTCTGTTCATCTCCATTGCATAAGCAAGCACTTGTTCTCTGCCGTCTTCCAAACTGGTTCCAGCCTAGAGCCAGAACATTGCTTTTCCACCCGGTTAACATTTGTTCTCCAAAAGCATGCAACGGTAAACAGCTTCTGATTTTCAAGATTGTATTGCATTCCATTGCCAAAAGTGATGTTTTGGATAGGTGGAAAGCTGGTTTAAAAACAAACAAAAAAACCACGCAGTTGTAAAAATGTTGTTTTCCTGGCCACTTTTTCATTTGTTACTAAACCGTTTCATAAGCTAACATTTCTTTAAATTGTTTTGCATCATACAGATAACCATGTGTAATAGTTTATGCCCTGAGTTAAGGTCTTTGATCCCTACAATGAAATACATGTGATAGAACGTGGATAGTCTACTCTAGCTTTTTCCAACCTGCTTTCTCATACTTAGGTTACACCCAAACTGTTTTGGATTCTACCTCCCACCAGCCCCTGCCAGCACTGGCTGATAGGTGTTGTAGTCCAAAACAGATGGAGAGACCATGTTCAAGAAGTCTGGTCTAGCTGGTGTTTATTGCCACTGGAAAACTAATGGAACTAATCATGCAGGGAGAGACCTCCAAATCACATCATATATAACCATGGACTTAGAGCCTTATGTAGCACGAACAACCACCATCCGAACAATGACAGTAAGAGCTGTTTGACAGTGACTGTTGCTGGGGGGAGGGGGACAGAATACAAGATGAGAGGCTAATGGCTGGGAGAATGAACAGAAACACTCCATGCTGCAAACATTTATTGCAGATCCTACTCACTGGGATTACAGCAGGAAAACCAAGCCAGTCCCATTGTGGTACAAAACATATGAGGGACATGGGTGGTTGCTCTGTCCCAGCTTCTGCCAACCTAGCAGTTCGAAAGCATGCAGTGGGAAGGCAAATGACATTTCTGTGCACTCTGGTTACCATCACGATGCTCCATTGCACCAGAAGCAGTTTAGTCATGCTGGCCACATGATCTGGAAAGCTGCCTGTGGACAAATGCTGGCTCCCGTGGCCTGAAACAGGAGATGAGCGCCGCAACCCCATAGTAGCCTTTGACTGGACTTAACCATCCAGGGGTCCTTTAGCTTTACAAAACACACCCATATCCGTAAACCCACTCTTTTATAATTAATAATATTATTATCCATAGATAAGGACATATTTGTTCACAGCTATGTTAAGTAACTATGGATATTACTAATAATAGTAAATCACTTCCTAAAAGCAGAGGTGGCTAGTGTCCATTGCAGCTGGTAGGGTAGAAGGTAGGGAGGCCAGTAGCCAATGACAAGCCCTCCCATCCACTCTGTCTGACCCTCAGCACCCTCCTTAGGTCACCCCCTCCTCTCCCCAACCATACACTCTACTGGTCCTCCTTGCATCCTCCTTGAGTGTTTTTGCCCGGCTGGAATGTACTGCATTGCAGGGAGTTGGACTAGATGACTCTTGGGGTCCCTTCCAACTTTACACTGCTGTGATTCTAACTCTGATTATGCCTCTTGCTTCCCTGGAGGGAGGATGGTGAAGGTTGTGCATAGGGCTTAATAAAAACTAGCTAACTCTACAAGGATAAAATATACATTTATTGCCCCATCTCCTTTTGCCTCCAGCCCCTTCCACCAGTAGCACCTTGTCCTTTGAAGGTGTTGAAGGTTGTCTGGACATGAACACAGATTCCTGACACAAGCTTTTAGCTCGAATTGACACAAAACAGTAACAAAGCAGGAGGTTGGGGAAGGGTCGGCCCACCCATGAGGCAAGGTGAGGGGATTGCCTCAGGTGGCAGAATCCACAGGGGCAGCAGATCCTGCGGTAGATCTTTATTTCTCCCACTGTTCTTCATTTAGATCTTCAGTCACAACCTTCTTCCTTGATGGGGAGAGGGTGCCATTTTGTTCTTTGTTTCATGTGCCAAAATGTCTTGGGCCATCCCTCCATTCGGGTCCAATCCAGTTCCATTTTGGGATGAGGCAAAGCCATTTTCCTACGAAACTGACTGGTAGTCTGGAGCTGGTTTTCAATCTTAAGCAACAGAAGCGGCTACTGAAAGTCAACAAAACCTCATCTTAACCATGCAGTAAATAATGCCAAAGCTCATTCATTATTCTTGTGGTATAATCGTGGGCTGGAGTTCGTTACAGTTTCAGATAATGAGGAGTGAAAGTTGGTTGATTCTAACAAAGTGTTTGCAGTCATTAATAAGGGACGTGCTACACCTCCTGACAAGTGGCTTTAATCGATGTGTGAAGCTCAGTTGCCTCCTGGGAGAATTTCCTTCGTTTTAATACCTGCCAGCGCCCCCGGACATCCAAACCAAGAGCAATAAGAAACACAACTTCCCTGTGTTGCGTCTACAGAACAAATTGATATGATAGTCACTTCCTCACCCCAGGAACCTGGGAATTGTATTCCTGAGGGGGGTGGGGCAAGGTCTCTAACAGAACTCACAGCATCCTTGCTACCCTTGGGATTCTAGGATGTTTTGAAGGAAGACATGGCAATTAAACTGAAATGAACCTGGTGTATGTTTGTAGCACAGGCACTTCCTCTTGTTTTGGAACGTGTCCTAGATCAACCTCAAGCACAGGAACATAGGAAACTGCCTTAAACTGTGTTAGAAACTGATCCATCTAGCTCAGTATTGTCCACACTGACTGGCAGCGTCTCTCCAGGGTCTTAACAAGGAGTTTATTCCAGCCCTACTTTGATAGGCCAGGGATTGAAACTGTGGCCTTTGGGATAAAATGCAGATGCCAGAAGGGTAGCACTAGAGGAATCTTGGACGTTTCCCTGTATCAGACATTTGTATAGCTCTGCATTGTCTACACTGGCCCGGCAGTGGCTTTCCTGACTTCTAAGCAGGGGGTCTCTCAGTCCTATCTGGAGGCGTCAGGGATTGAACCTAGGGCATTCTCAATGCAAAGTAAATGCTGTACCACTGAGCCAGCCTCAGAGAGACAAGGTAAAGGAAAGCTCCCAGCGGCAGAAATGGAAATTTGAAATTCAAATAGCAGTTTTGAGAGGGTGGATTTTATTTTTTGTTTCTGTTTTGGTAGGCACAATTGCACTCACCCTCTCAACACTTGCAGTTCTGCAGCTGTTCAGGCTTCTTCTGGTGTTCTCTCCCTTTAACCAAAAAGGGGGACATTAATTATACTCTTACAATTAATGTTGTGTCTAGTTTGGCCCTCAGAGCTGCTTCACGCAAAGGCATTCACAATATGATGGTGTTTGCATCCAGAGGCATCGTGCATGTCCATATGAGACTCTGTTGTGGATTCCCTTTTTCTGTCCAGCAGCGCTTTTAAATGATGTCTGAGGAAACCTTGTATCCCAGCATTATTGCATTTCTTTCTGCCTTTTCTTCTTAAGCCTCAGGTATTCCAATTAAGTGTGAAAGATAAGCTGCTCCTCCATGTGTCACATTGTAGATGTTTTCGGTTTGCCTTTTGAACCCTGCAAATGGGTGGTGTCAACCATGCTTAGCTTCATGAGCTGGTCCTCAGAGCTGTCATCGCAAAACAGGGTGGATGCTATTTCCAAACGGTGTCGTGTGTGTCATTTTGTAAACAACACTCCCAAGTCCCCTTCACTTAGGATGATGGAGGCAGAGCTCACAGAACAGAGCCTGCCACGCAGATGTTTCACTGCAGTTGGAGTCAGCCGTAACACTTTTAGACATAGCCTTCCCCCAACATGGACTGAATTCACACAACAGTTTAATCCGCTTCCCTAACTGTTAATGTCTACAGTACATTTCTGTGTTCACACAGCTTAATACTATTACTACTATTATTAATCTATTTATTTACATCCAGCCCTTTTCCCTGATGGGACTCAAGGCAGCTGACCTATAAAAATGAAAACCACTAAAAAACAATCATTTTAAAACTATGAAACATTGCTAGAAGTAAAACCGTACGCATATATAAAATACATTAAATCTGTACAAATAATTACAATAAAAACAGCACAGCACCAGCCCTTTCATTAAAAGCTGTCAGTTCTCAAAAGTCTGCCGGGGGGGGGGGTTCACCTGTGGGCAGAAGGACAGCAAGGAGAGAGCAAGTCTGGCTTCTTAAGCGGAAGGGGTTTCAAAGTTTGGGAGCAGCCACTGAGAAGGCCCTCTCCTATGTCCCCATGTGAATAACTTGTGTGTATATAGCTCAAATATTTTTGTACACAGGGATGCAGATTTTATACCCCAGGAACATTTATTTTCCAGCACTAGCCCGAAAGAAGCCACTTCAGCAACTTATGTGAGTTTAACTTTGAAGGAACAGGTACATAGATGAGGATACTGTTGTTGCTTGAGGCTCAGGTGGCCTTGGTGGAACAGAATTCACTTTATCAGCTTCAGCAGGTGGCCCAACTGCACTCCTACCTAGACAGGGGTAGCCTAACTTCTATTGCCTATGCTCCAGTAATCTCTAGGTTAAATTACTGCAATGTGTTATATGTGGGGCTGCCTCTGAAGATAGTCTGGAAACTTCAGCTGGTGCAGAATTCAGCAGCTAGGTTGCTCACTGAGGCGAGACAGTTTGAGCACATAATGACAATCCTGGCCCAACCGCGCTGGCTGCCAATTTGTTTCTGGGCCCAATTAAAAGTGCCAGTTTTGACCTATAAAGCCTTAAACAGCTCAAGACTGCAATACCTCAAGAACTGACTCTCTCCATATAAACCAGCCAGGACCCTGTGATCTTCATTTGAGACTTTTCTTCATGTGCCCCTTCCATGAGAGGTCCAGAGGGACATGAGAACATGAGAACAGGCCTTTTCTGTAATGGCAAAAACATTTCTCAACAACCAGGCATTCTATGGTCTTTCAAACTCTTTGTGGAGAGTATTGCTTTGTTACTATATTCTTTAGTTTTGTGTTTCTTTATTGCAGCCCTGTTGCCCTTGGATGAAGAGTGGTATAGAATTTTCATATATAGTAATGATAATAATAAGTGTATATACCAAATGCCTTATTTTTCTTCAATCTGTATTATTGCTTATTGAATTTCATGCCTATGATGCACTGCTTTCAGGCATGGTTTGTCCCTGTCATGTAAGATTATAAATATGCACACACAAATCTTATCACAATCACTCACAAAGGGGAGCTGGTGCTATCAATACACAAATCTGTAATTATCATCAGATAATTAGCTGTTGTTGTACTGGAGATTCACCATTCAAGGCTACTTGTGGGTGGAGAAGAGGTGGAACAGAGGCAGACTAGTCTTATTTTCCAGTGCTTCAGTATAATGTCTCCCTGATCTCACCAGCCCCTTTGGTCATATACAGCCATCCTTATTTTTTTAATACCATCATCAACAGGATGCCCCACAAATATATAAACATGCCCTTCATAGCGGCCATGAGCAATGAGGAATTTCATGAGTGAAGAAGAGCCCTCTTGCTTAATCTCAGCTAAATGTTTGCTAGCCGGCTGTCACAAAAAGCAGATACTGACATTCTCCTTTTCATTGCAGCTCATCAAACGTTTCATTAGATTCAGATCGGCATGGTCCGTCAGCTCTTTGCACAGCTTTCGAATTTACTCTGCCTATAAAACACACCATCACAATTTGTTTCCCTTCCTAGCTGTAACATAAGTCTTCCAGGTTTCGGCCACTGAATTTGCTCTTGCAAAGAAAATGGCTGTGTCACTTTTCTTATGAGAAACCATTTTTATTTCCATCCAAGAAACTTTTATTGAAAATATCTTTCCAAGCCAATGGTCAGAAGGAACTGCACATGGACTATACCTTCCCTCCAAAATTGCCTGTGTATTTATATTTATAGTCCACCCTCCAAAGAGAATTACCCAGACTAACATGATGTCAAGATTCAGTGATGCTAATGATGCAGTATATAACAACAACAACAACAACAACAACAACAACATATTAAAATCATTTGCAAAATGTAAAATGACTCATTGGGGGAGAGAATTCCACCACTGGAGTGCCAACACCAGGAGAGTTATTTCCTTGGTTAACATCTGTCATATTTGGGGAAGGGATTGACACATGGCCTCCAGTGATGATTTCAGCAGACAGACTGATATGGAGACAGGTGATCCTTCAGGTATCCCAAGCTTAGAGGTAAGTCCTAACCCTTTGAATTGGGACAGAAATAGACTGGACCTTTGCCTGATACCTTCATTATAACCTTTAGGCAAAAAAGTTCCTCTTCAACTGGGCCTTGGGCCGACTAACACCCTATATCCTTTAAAATGTGTTAGTGGAGTTATTAGTTTGCTTTGCTTTTATTATGCATTTTGTGTTTTTATCTTGTATTTTTATGCCATGACCTGACCTGATTTCTTTGGATGAAGGGCGGTATACAAATTTATTAAATAATAATAACAATAACCTAGCACTTGTGAATTTTTTTCAAGTTAGCAATGCCCTTGCCATATCAGATAAACTAAGCATTCTGCTTTAAAGGTACAGAAAACACTGGCTACGTTAGCTGGAGATGATGGGGGTTGTAGTCCAACAACAATATATGGGGACCCAAGGTTACAGAATGCTGAAGCAAAGCTACAGCAGCACCTCCATGAAGAGTTCAAAAAGGCAGGAGCTGTTGATAACTTCATGCCCATTGGAGCCAACAAGACTCAGCAAAGGGTAAATAAGGAACAATGTGTTGCTGAACTTTAGAATTGAAATATTCTATAAAATGTTAACTGCTGTCCAGTTTTGCCATGTGAAGTTTGTAGTGGAGCTGGGATAGGCAGAGGCTTATTTCATGGCCATCATTTACTTCACAGCAGGGAACAGGATGTTGCCTTCTGGGACATGTCCTTTGCCAGTCTTCTGCATACCAAATACATAGTTTTTCTCCTCCTCCTCCTCTGAGAGAAGTCCATTAAATAAGCAAACCTGAAGGAAAATCCCTCTTCCAAGGAAATGGTGATAATTGCAGTTCTATGAGGTGAATAACAGATTCCTAACAAACTACATTTCCCATGATTTTGGGGGGAGGACACCAAGACTAATGTGGTACTAATGTGATACTACTTTAAATGTACAGCGCAGGTGGAATGTCTTCATTGGTCAAAAATCAACGTTGCGTTGCTTTGTCTTAGGAGCAGCACATCTGTGGGGGCTGCCTGCATGCCATAATTTCCTGCACCATGTGTCAACCTTTGTCAAAATGCTGCATAACTCTGTTCTAAAATAAACACATCATTATTACTGAAACCATATAGAGCACGTCAGTCAGGAAGCCCTTCAAAGTTCCTGGGGGAGGAAATCCAATTCATTTGCAAAGAAGACAATAAAGAGAAGTCTACACCGTTTCAATACTCGTGCATATCTCAACGGCTTAACGCTTTAAATGACATTTGGCAAACCACTTGCTTCACTGTGTTCTCCTTACATTTGTTCTCTTCAAGGTAATAAATAAATCAGGCAGATGAGATCGTTAACCTTGAAAATTGGCTGCCACATGCAGAGAGCCACTGCTGTTCCAAACTAATTTTTTAAATAATATACAGCTTTGGATAAGAAGGGACACGTTGCTCCAAAGGTATGAGATGAAAAGAGGCTGGCTATTGTGGCTCCTTGTTGCTTCTTTGTTCCCTGAAGATGGAAGATGTATGACACCCACTGTGGGCTGGTGGTTCTTCATCATTTGATGACTTGCGTGTATAAATGAGCAATTGCAGATATGACACTGCAAACAGAATCCAAGAGATCCTATCTGCACCATTCATTTAAAGCAATATCATTGCACTTTAAACAGTCATGCTTTCTCCCCCCCCCCCCCCGCCTCTCCAATCCTATTTCTCTCACAGAGCTATGATTTTTAGAATGGTTTTACAGTCAATCTGTCTCCCCAAGGAACCCTGGAATTATAGCTCTGTGAGGGGAAGAGGGGTTCTCCTAAAAACTCTCTGCACCCTTAACAAACTACAGCTCCCAGGGTGCTTCTGGGGAAGCCAATGTACAG